CCTCCTTCACACAGAGCAGGCTGACACCCTCCAAAAGAGTGTCCTGTCCTCTGGTGGAGGGAAGTGATGGTGTCACCATTATGGACACTCAGATTTGGGTTAGGATCTAGTCCAAGAAGCCCCTGAGACAAAGTCATCTTTTCCCAGAGCTGGGCAGCCACTAATATTGCATGGGATTAAGGAGCACAGGGCCCTGAATTGGAATCCAACTAATCAATTTTGAGAAGAGAAAGGTTGGGTTTGGCAGAAGAGTGCAGGCCTATGTAGGTTTCCTGGTGGGGGCCCTGGGGTAGGGGCCTAGACCACAGGGATTCAGGTCCCATGGTAAACTGTTACATTGGTGGCCCCCAGTGAAGCAAACTTCTCAGTGTTCATACCCTGTGCAGTCCTCTCTCTTACTGACTTTAGACTTAGGCATTTGACTGACTTCGGCCAGAGGACATTACAAGTGCGATGCAGAGGTTTAATAAGCACTTGCATGTGGAGGCTTGTTCTTTTGGAATGCTGCCACGCTATACAGAGACTCAGGCTGACTACTGAATGATAAGAGGCTGTGTGGACAAAGAGCCTGGAGGATTAGAAGGCATTTTGGACACCCCAGCCCCAGTCGAGAACCTGATCAATGCAGCCACAGGAGTGATCCCAGCTCTACCACGTGAAACAGAACTGCCCAGGTGATCCTAGTGCACCCACAGAATCATGAGAAAAATTAAACTGTGGTCTTTTTAGTCACTGGGTTTTTATGGTGGTCCAATATCTGAAACAGGTCCTTACCTCCAACTGGAGTGTGATCTTATCACCAGATTTGACACAGGCCAGCCACAGTTTCCCTTCATGGATGCCCAGGAACATACCACCACGAGACTCAGTGAGCTCCACATTCATCTTCTCTGGGAAGTGCAGAGGGGATGGTCAGGTTGTAGAGAGAAGAGGAGTCAGAGATGTGAAGAGAGGGTGGCCTGGACCCTCCCTGGGTTGTTTTATTGTCTCCCCATGTAAAACCCCAGCATCAGAAGGGCAGCGAGGCCCTATCTTCGTGGTCTGCATCCAAACTGAAGATCAAACCAAGCACATTATCTACTTATTCCTCAAGTACTGTCTCCTAGATTCTGTGGCACATGATTTCTGTCCTTCCCTTACTTTCTAGGATACCTGCTCTCCAGGTAAACAGGTGTGCTGCCTATGGGGCAGGGAAAATATCATTTGAATCATGAGTGGAGCCTCGGGGCTTGGTCCTCAGAAGCCTGGGTGACTTTGAAGCCACCTCCTCCCCTCAGTGGTCTCCATGCCCTCATGTGGCAGAAAATTCTCAGCTTCTCTGTTTCAGAGCATTTCATTTCACAAGAAGGGCAGGAACGGTAGGTCTTGCTCTTTTTAGAAGCAGGCAGGGAGAGAGAGCAAGGGGGTAGGGAAAGGTGAGGAGATGGACAGAATGCCATTCTCTATTACCAAGTCAGCCAGCAGGGAGGGGATAACATCCTAGAACGCCAGTGCTGCAGGCGCCTCAGATCACGTCACCTGACTGCCCTCATTTTATTAAAGGGACAATGAGGAATGGAATGGGCAAGGCTTGTCCAACTGCAGTCAGCTTGTTTAGAGCACGGGCCAGAGCATGACTGAGTGTGGTATCCACGAATAGGTAACATAATCCAGACTGGCATATGGTGTATTAATTTTGGGTAGAGTTTGGGGTTTAGATTAAGCATTGGGCAGCTTAATAGGCACAGGAAGAAGGGAAGGGTAAATCTTTCCTTCTGGTCCCTGGCCTCTCCCAGCTGTGGCCCTGACCTAGACTGCACTCTGGACTGTCCTCTTGAGACTGCGCTCACATATGCCATCCGGCGGCCAGGCCTCACAGTCTCCAAACTCAGTACAAGGATTGAACAAGGATCAAAATTGCATCTAAGGTTTGTGGGGCAGGCCACAACGCTGCAGACCCCAGGGCAAAGTGACCTGCTGCCCCGCAATACCAGCTTTCCTGGCAACCTCTCACCTTCTAATTTAGCATTTGCTGCTTGCAAGTATCCAGCAACTAGTTGGTTATTACTCAGGTAGAAGACCTTCTGGTTAACATCCCAGATTCTGAAAAGCAAAAGGACCCAGATCTGACTGTAGTGGACAGCCGCTGTGTGCCTGGCCCCATGCTTAGCACCCTCCTGATTCTCACAAAGCTCATTGACTCGGCATCCACCTCTGCCAGGGGTGTGGTCATCGACACACCCATGTCACGGATGAGGAGACTGAGGCTGAGACTGTTTAAGAGACAAGCCCCCTATTCCCAGTGCTAGTAAGAAGTGACCCCACACTCCACCTGTCTCCTCGCCTTGCTCCTCATCTTCAGATTCCCAGAGCAGGCGCCTTCTGTGTCAGCAAATCCTACTCTAGAACAGCACTGTGCAATACAACTTTCTAGGATGACAGAAATGCTGTATATCTGAACTGTCCGCTATGGTAGCCACTAGCCCCACATCACTATTGAGCTCTTGGAATGTGGAGAGTGAGGTCCGGGATCTGAATTCTCTATTTTATTCTGTATTAATGAATTTGAATGAAGAGTATACAGCCACTGGAGATGAGTGGCTACCACAGCACAGCTTTAGAAGTTGTGAGGGACAGTGTAGGAGCCCTGGTGGTGCAGTGTGTAAACACTCTGCTGCTAACCGAAAGGTTGGCAGTTCAAACCCACCAGCCACTCCATGGGAGAAAGATTTGGCAGTCTGCTTCCATAGAGATTACAGGCTTGGAAACCCTGTGGGGCAGTTCTAC